CAAGGATTGGTACAAATTCAGAATTTAACTAGAAAGAGACACCTCCTACTTTACATGTGATGATTTGTCACTTTAACATCAAATTCCTTCAATCTTATGGCCTCCATCATGTCTTCTAAAGTCTTAGCAGTTACATTGGATAGATATCCTACTATATTAAGAAAGCCACGTTGTAGTTCCTATAGATGCAATAGTAACCAATGAGATGTTGTTGTTCATTTTCCCAGTTTTCACTCCTCCAGCCCTCGAATTTTATACGTTTCCAAATCATTGTCCCCCAATCTGCTATAAAAACGACGTCGTAGTAGACTTTGAATTGCATTATTCTTTCTTCTCGTTTATAAAACCATATATTTAGAATTTTCAAAGAATCATAAAATTGCAAAAGGAATATCAAGGAGGTTCGTTTCTATTTTGAAGAATTTGATTTTATCTTCTCTGTAATGGAAGACAAATTGGAAATTGGTTCCAAAACAGAAGTGCAAGATGTAAAACTAAGCAAATGGAGAAAGGTTATGAAATTGTTAAGAGACATTTTGAATAAGCAGAAAATGATGTTCTACAAACTGAAAGCCAGAAACTTGTCTACTCTCTCGAGCTTATTTAAACCCAAATGAAATGTCAATAATGAAAACAATAAATGTGTTTGTATGTGTATGTGTGTGTGCGAGAGAGAGATAGCTCAAGTGCACATGAAGTACCAAAAGTTAACAATTTTTTTCATAATTTATTTATTTGTTTATTGTTGATATGTAAATGGTTTGCCGCTCGGTGGAAGAAATGAAGAAAAATAAAGACCATAGGCTGTTTTAATGTGTGGAGGTCAGGAAAAAAAGAAGTTGAACTCCGCGATGCACGGACATGGATTTGTGCCCGCGCTACTCGGAAGCAAGAAGACAATGTCCGTGTTACCCCCAAGCCCCTACGAGGGGCGCTGCCCCCTCAACCCCCGTGACCTGACTGGGCATGTCAATCCCCTCCAGGGGTGTTGCCCTCGAATCCCCAAGAGGGACGCTGCCCCCATGACCTTTGTGATCTGACTAGGCAGCTGGATCTTGGCCGAGGGTGTTGTCCCCGAATCTCCACGAGGGACGCTGCCCTCGCGACCTCACTGGGAAGGTTGATCCCCACCTTTCGGGTCCTTGTCGAAAGCCCCCATTGCCCCTCGACCCCCTCGATCTGGACATGTAAATCCCCATTTCGAAGCGGCGACCATTTGCATAGCAACAATACACAAATAAATAAATTATGAAAAATTTGTTAATTTTTGGTACTTCGTCTACACTTGATCTATCTCTCTCTCACACACATACAAACACAGTTAGTATTTTCGTTGATTGACATTTCATTTGAGTTTAAATGTTTAAAAAATATTGAGTTTTAGGCCTTTGTTTATTTATTTACTTTTCTTGGAGAAAAAGAGAAAAGAAAATTAAATTCAATACTCCTTCAAACATAAAAAAAAGTGTCTGCATAGTTTAAATTAATGAATATATACAAGTATTTTATCTTGCCCTTCTGTTTTGGAACCAATTTCCAATTTGTCTTTGTTAGTACAAAACCTGCAAACGTGAAAGATCGTTGACAAGTAATAGAATTGATGACTCGAGAGTACCGTCGCACAGGGAATAAATTTAATTAAAGTTTACTAACTTTTTATTGGATTCGAATTATGTAAACAAAATGAAGTTTGATTTTATTTTATTTTATATATAATTAATCAAAGAAAGCAATAAAAATGTGACATTTATCAATTTATGGAAGATTGTATTGGATCTCGAATCCACCTATTGTTATCTATTTCAATTTTTTATTTATAATCTAGTTCCGTTCATGCGTTCTTGACAATCAATAATTCTATTATAATTAATTCTCTTTTCCAAGACAAATGAAGTATATTCTAGTCACGACCCAAATCTATTCTTAGTCTGAATTCGAATGATTAGAATGCATTAAAATTTAGATTATCTATATGATTGCACATGTGATAAATGTTATTCCTAATATCTATTGCACATATGTTAATTTTGCAGTGTTCTAAACTTATTGTGAGTTTTCCAACACTACAACAAGCAACTAATTATTTAATTGGTAGCCAATCAATTAAATAATGCAATGAGTATGCAAAATTAATCAATAAACTCAAGAAATAAACTAAACTACTAGTCTTAAATTAAAACAA